AGCACACAGATAATGCAGAATAATTGGTGGCAACTATTATCATATTATGTTCCCCCAAGTGCAACTAAATAGGGTTGGAATTCCATAGGGGTCCTCAGCCGAGATCCCAAAAGCAAAAGACATGTCTTCTCCTGGCCGTCAGCAGGAAGGATGACCAGTCATGCCTGGTGGTTTCCAGGCAGCCATGTCCTTGACAGAGAGAGGTTTCGCCAGGGCCCCTGCTGGCTCATGTTTTCCTCACAGGATGGGCCCTTCTGCCACACTGTCTCTGGGTCCCCGAGTGTCTTCTGATGCACATCACCATTTGTTTCTTCCCTCCTCAGTTTAGGAGATAAGAGCAAGTAATTGTCTTTTATAGACACTGTAATGAAGCCTGTCATCACACAAAAGAAGTTTGCTAATAAAATAAATCAAAGCAGCAGTGAAAATGAATAGGGAGCAAGCTTTTACAATTAGATTTGTACTTGTCTGGTGGCACAGTGCTTCCATGAGAAGTGAGAAGGCTGTTGCGCAGGGGAGAAAGGCACCAAGAGATGAGCTGACGGGGTGTTTGCAAACTCCTCAAGGCAGAGCAACATGGCGCCCAAGGCAGGCAGCTGTGTCCCCTGTGGGCTTGGAGGCTGGCAAGGGGCTTGACAGAAAGGGAGGGAGGGAAGCCAGCAGAGAGGGGTTGCAGGTACATCATCTCGGTGGTCTGTGTGTGTCCCCATCCAAATGTGATGGGGTCCCAGCCAAATGTGATCTGGCTGCTGCTCCCCCTTCTTTTTGCCATCAGCTGGACTCTTTCCCCACAGGTGTGATACCTGGGGGAGAGGAGAACACCCTGGGGCACCTAGGCCCCAAGTGGTGCCCCCATGACTGTGCCCCAGCCCTGCCTGGCCCTGTCATTCTCCCAGTCAGTTACAGGTTCTGCCACCAAGTAAGTTAGAAAAACTTCATGGGGCACCCAGGTGGCTTAGATAAGTGTCTGACTTCGGCTCAGGTCATGATTTCACGGTTTGTGGGTTTGAGCCCCGCATCGGGCTCTGTGCTGACAGCTCAGAGCCTGGAGCCTGCTTCATTCAGATTCTGTGTCTCTGTCTCTCTCTATTCCTTCCCCGCTCATGCTCTGTCTCTCTCTTTCTCTCTCTCTCAAAAATGAATGATTTCCATTTAGGAAATCAGGCCATAGGATAAAAAAAAACATGCTGTTGGGCAAAAGGGCAAATGCTGTATAATTTCAAGGTGGTGGCATTTCTCGTTCTTTTGCAAGCAGAAATGACTAACGTAGTTACGTTTGGTCAGGCATTAAGCTGAGTGCTTTTCATGAGCTGTCTCATGCCATCTCAGCAGCCTTGCAAGGTAGTAGTGACCTGCCATGCCCAGGTCACAGGTGAGGAGACTGTCGCTCCCCAGGTCAATGCCTTGTGCCAGGTCACATGGCTGCACAAGTTGGCATTGGGAATGGAGAGGGTTGTGTGCTCATAACCCCTGTGCCATGGTCATCATGGGTCTTGTGTGGCTGTTGCCTCAGTTGTGAAGGAAGGTAGGAGAGGACCCTAGAGGTGCACAGGTAGGTGGCTTGGGCCATGACTGGAACCATGGGACCTGGGATCCAAGACCACCTCTGGCCACCCAGGTTGAGTCATGACACCATTCTGTGCCTCCATCTTTTGTCGTGTTCCTGGAGGGAGAGTCCCCTCCAGTCTTGGGCTCCTGCCAGATACCTCTTCAGGTTGTTCAGGTACTCAAAGAGGACTCAGGAATTGGAAGCAGCTTTAGCTGAACAAACAGATATCTCTGTCTCTGAAGGCAGTTCTCACTCAGGGAAGGGCAGGAACGCTGAGGAGTAAACCCATCGTCTAAAGCTAGGACTCCTTCTGGGCTCTGGACGTCTCAGGAATCTGCGGGTGTTTCGGATGCCTTAAACCTCTCAGCAGATCAAGGTCACCCTGGTCCCTCAGGAACCTTTAGGCGGATGGCCAGCATGGTCAGGGCCAAAGAAACCAGAGGTCACAGCAAAGAGAAGGATGTGGAGATTGATCGTTGTCTACATAAAGGAAGGTTCCCTGCCAGGCAGAGCTGGAGACACAACCTTGTTAGCTAATGTGAGTTTAATATGGAGTCAGGGGAGCTGGACGCCAGCCTAGTCAACTGCCCAGGAGACCGTCAGAAATAGAGTGGGGTAAGGTGTCCCCCATCTGTTCAGCGCCACTCTGCCTCCCAAAAGACAGGGGCGGCCCAGCGGCAAGCTGGGCGATACCCGCCAGACAAAAGCATCGCTTCCATGTCAGTCATTTTGTATAAAGGAAGAGTTATTGTTATGGGAGGCTGGCGCCTGATCAATATCTCCTGCTTTGAAAATAAACTTCTTGGCTTGGCCTTGACATTAATCTACCATCAGGAGCCCATTATCTCAAGACCAATATTCTGTTCTATTGACTTGCTCAATTTTTTTTTTCTCCCCCAAGATCAGACTATAATTGCATTTCTCCAGGCAGCACTTGCACTCACTGCAGCCTCATGCATACAGGTCCCCTTGCAGGAAGCCCGGGACACAGCACATCTGGGGTGGGATGGAGACCGTGGCTGGCAGAGGGTCATGGGGGACTGAGGACCCTCAGGTGCATGAGGAGGAAAAGCAGTCCTTCTAGAGCCTGTGAATTGGTTGAGACATAAAGCCAGATCCCCAATATCCCCAGAAAATAGTCTCTTGCACAGAATTGGGGTTACAGACGTTCCCACTCCTACTTGTCATTCACAAACAAGGAAACACGGGAATAAGATTAGCAATAACGTCCCGAGTGCAGCTGGGCCCTACCATTATCACCACAGCCCCCACAAACCCGAAGCCATACCTGCCTCAATCTCCAAGAGCTTCTGGACCTTCCCTCCCCCACACCTGCCCCCTACAACCCATTCTCCACCCCTCAGGCAGAGTCCTCTTCATAAAATAGAAATTGGATTATATCATCACCCTCCCTGAAGACTTTTGGTGAAGCCTCCTTATTTTTCCCTGCAAGACCCTTATGATTGTCTCTGACCTCCCCGCCCACCTCTGCTCCTGCTCCAGGCCTCTGGCTTCCTCCATTCAGGGATTAAGCCAACCAAGCCTGGCCCTACCTCAGGGCCTTTACACTTGCTTTTCTCTCCACCTGTTCTCTCACCCCTCAGATCCTTATGTTACTTTTACCTTCTCATTATCTAAGTATTGTATCTAATTTTCCCTTCTAAGTGAGGCTATCCCTGACTGGCGTAGGTAACATCACTTCTCAGAGATCCAGGCAATGAGTCTCTCCAGTTACCTTGCTTTGGCTTCCTTATAGCACACATCACCATCTGCAACTGGCTTTCTGTAGTGATTATCTACTGCCACAAGAGAAAAACCCCCTGAACATACCCTCTTCAAACGGTAATAGACAGTATCGCAAGGTTACACAAACCCACACCAGGTCAGGGGTTTGGGAGTGGCTTAGCAGGACATTTCTGCTCGAGTCTATCGTGAGGTTGTGGTCAAGGTATCAGCCAGGGCCATGGTTATCTGAAGGCTGGACTGGGCCTGATAGATCCCTTTCTAAGACGGCTCACTCAGCTTGGCTGGCACGTTGGCCCCAGCTCCTCACCACCTAGACCTCTCCACAGAGCTGCTCGAGTGTCCTCACAACATGGCAGCTAGGTGCCCCAAAGCAAGTGACCCCACAGAGGAAGGTGGAAGCCACAGTGTCTTCTACGACCACCACTTCTGCAGTTTTCCTTTGGCTACACGGCTCAGTCCTCATGTGACTCATTCGGGAGGGAGGTGTCTCCAGAGAGCGAGGATCACCGGGGGCCATCCTGGAGGTTGCACACCATACTCCCCCTCCATGAGAACAAGGGCCTTGGCAAACTTGCCACGTGTGTGCCCAGCACAATGTCTGGCATGTAGCAGAGACCCCATGAATATTAGCCAGATGTCTGAATGAATCATAAGAGTGTGTAACTGTTAGGACTGCGTGCTAAGTCTTGTGCTAAGTAAGCACTTTACATGCAATATCTCACCCCCACGGCCTGCCTCATTTAATCCTCTACAGATGAGCAAACTGAGTCTCAGAGAGGTTACGTACCTTGATCAAAGTCACAAACCTGGTAAGTGGCTGAGCCAGCATTTGGCCCCAGGACTGCTGAGGACGGTCTGTCTAGGCCAGGCCCCTTAGTGGATATGCGTCAGCGTGGATTGTACTTCCGGAGATTTCCCACATTGCCATCAGACCACATGCAGTCAAACTCAGGAGCTCTTTGTGACGCCAGGAATGTAGGGAAACACAAGGAGAAACTTGGAATTCCTCTCTACGGTGATAGTCAGCTGTGTGGCTTAGTAAGCCGGACTGCAGAGAAGTCAGGGCAGGGAGCCTGCTGCCTCTGCTCAGGGTGACCCAGCAAGAGGCTTGTAGATCTCAGAGGAAACTCCAGAACCTGGTACCACAGTCGGTAAATATACAGAGCCTAGGTGCTATCTCTTCCCCTCTCGTACCTGTGGTAGACGTTACTAAGGCGATCACCACAGTCCTTCCCGCTGAGCTGCCCTTTGCTGCCTAGAATTCTCAACACAGCTCTCCCCACACCTGCACTTGTTCGGAGCCCAAACTCTGGAGTCCGCTAAAGCCAGGTTTAAATTCTAGTTCCACCACTCACTAACCCTGTGACCTTAGACAAGCTTCTTAGCTTCTCTGAGCCTCCGTTTCTTCATCTATAAAAGGGAGCTCCATTACTACCCACTTCTTTGGTCTTCTGACAAGGCTTAAGTGCAGTTGTGCACGGGGGGCTTGCAGCAGACTGCTTGGCAACAAGGAGGCACTCAATGCTGTCAACTATTGAAAGCTGCTGTGGTTATCACTGTGTTTTCCTCGTTCTGTGAATGGGAGCTTTAATAGTCCCAAGCTGATGCTTCTAGTGAATGTATTGGAGGAGGGGGCAGTGACCTTTGAGGTGGTGGTGAATGAGAGGCAGAAATACCATCTTCTTTCTCCCTTCCCACCCTGCAGGTGTGGATGTGTGGGGGCCGCATGGAGGACATTCCCTGCTCCAGGGTGGGCCATATCTACAGGAAATACGTACCCTACAAAGTCCCCGCTGGAGTCAGCCTGGCCCGGGTAAGGTGATGGCTCCCTGGATGGGGACGGGGTGAGGGGCTAGGCTCATCAGCAGAGTAGAGGCATCCTGAGACACCTGGGAACTCCAAGCCAAGTGCCTTGGGGGGGGCGGGGGGGATGTGCACCCCCCCTTCCCCAACTCTCCAGGTGAAATCGAGTTTAAGAGAACTTACTTAAACCCCTGCTTAAACACTTAGGAGCTGTGACCTTGAGAGGGTTGCTTAACTCCTCTGAGCCTGTGTTTCCTCTTTTACTTAAAAAGAAGCTAATTTGTTGGTGACTCTTAGCATTGCCAGGAGAGTCAGGGAGATAGCATAGTTACTCCAAGTGTGACAGACAAGATGATTTTAGGTGACAGACATAGGAACATTTTTATTTACATGTGTTTAAATTAATGTGCTTTAGAAGTTAAAATGTATTAGTGTAGCAGACTTGTGATTTCACAGGTATTATTAGGATAAAGCTAACATAGGTGCAAAGTCAGACCAGAAGTGATTTAAAGAAGCCTGTTAGATAAATGTTCGTGCAGGTGGAGCGGTGTGAGACACTGAGAAAGCCTGAGACAAAGTACTTAAAAGTTCCAGGCATGAGGGTGGTTAATAAATGTAAGTATCTTGCTCTTCTCCCCACCCCCTCCCCACTAACATTGCCAAAAAGTCTGTGTGTCAAACTATTTCATTAGCTTAAAATGGTTTGTATTAATAGCTGCTTGAATTAAATGGCCACTGGCTACAAATAAAAATGTTAGCCAGAGATTTGTTTTGGGGGTTGTTTTTTGAATTAATGATATTCCACTGAGCCTCAAATTTTAAAATATTAAGTGTATTGAAAAAAAACAACAAGGTTACTACAAAGGAAAAATGGGGTGGATGGGGGTGCCCAGAAAGGAAAGAGGGCCGCAGGGAGGTCTGGGGGAAGCTGGAAAGGTAACTCAGTAACTGGCACAGCTTTGCCTCGTGGAGACCCCTTCGGACAGAGACCCCTTTGCAAGCCTATTTGGCATCAGTCCATACAGCTTCCCTCTGCCCTGGCCACCGCCTCCCCCTTCCTCATCACCTGATGACATGCAGAACTGCAGGCTCTGGGTCAGGAAGAGCCTTCGTCCTGCGAGGTACAAGGAAGACCAGCCGGCTCAACGAGGCAGTGGGTCTCCCCAGGTGGGAGCTGAGCTCCAGGGGCTGCTTTGCCGCCGGTGTTGAAGAAAAAGAGAGCCAGCAGTGCCCTCTAGTGGTGTAAGATTCTAAGGACAGCCACATCTGCCATCCGCGCTTAGGACACAGCCCATCCGACCCGGGTAGGTTGGGAGGGCGGTTTTAGATTCAGCTGGAGAGGTAGGAATCCCATTTCTTTTGAGATCCCATTGGCAATCCCAGAGGAAGGTGCCAGGCAGGAAAACAGAACAACGTCAGTCAGTAAGCCCAAGAGTGCGATTCCCAGCTACTAGGAGTGGTGGGACCATGGGGACACCTCTGACCCCTGAGCAGGACTATTCCCGAAGCATCCTTTTCTTATCCACTCATTTATAAGACCTGCCTCATAAAAAGGCACCACCCACCTCCTCTTTACCGAACCACAGATGAATTCAGTGAATAACAGCTAACTGTAGTAACACATAAAAGTTTCTTGTGGGCTAGACGTCAGGCGAAGCATCTTCCATACATGTCTCACTTAATTTTCACTTGTTTTTAATCCCCATTGGAGCAATGAGATAAGTGAAATGTAGAGACATTAACTAACTAGAGCCAGAATTCAAACCCACTTAGGTCTGACTCATGCCTGGCACACAGAGCAGTTGTTGCTCAAACAGTGACAGCTGTTCATCTTGGTATCAGCATCTCTTTTTTTTTTTTTTAAGATAAAAGGCTTTTGTAAAGATTATTGTTGGATGTAAAAATCCAACTTTCATTTTATTTTTTTTTAATATATGAAATTTATTGTCAAATTGGTTTCCATACAACACCCAGTGCTCACCCCAAAAGATGCCCTCTTCAATGGGTATCAGCATCTCTTAACAAGACTGCAAAGTTTCTTTCAGCGTCTTTGAATTCTGGGTTGAAACATTTTAACTTCTTTTTCACCTGTCTGTACTGTTTCAGTCTCCTGTCGACTTTAAGCCAGCTAATGATATGAGGGGCACCCCACATACATATGCAGGACCACAAAGACGCCTGAATCAGGCTCCCCTGAATTTGTGTCCAAGTATCTAACTACCACCCTCCTTGAGTTGCAGATCATATTTTAAATGTTTGCTTAGTGTTTTAACAGCCAAATCCTTCTAGAGCATTATCTCCTAGAAGATCATTTTGATAGATTCAAGGAGAGGTCGGTTAAAAGCCCTAAAAGAGCTACATAAAGAGGGAAACGAAAGTCTTACTCAAGTTGTACAGACAGATTCCAGGACAAACAGCCAGAGAGGAGTGAAGCCACAATTCCTCACCATCCCAGTGGCACGAGCAAATTAGTGTGCTGAAGGACCTAGGTGGGCCGCCTGGGAAAAGGAGAGACTTTGGGTGTGCAAGCCTTTTTCGGTTTTCAGCTTCCTCAGGGCACAGATTTAAATTAAGCCCAGGCTTTGCCTTGCAGGGGCCTGGTATTGTTCCTTAATTGTTTAATACGTTCCTTAATTGTTTTCTAACCTACTGTCAGTCTCTTCAGCACTCAGAGAGAATGAGGCTGATATCAGCAAGGAAATTCCATAGCTTCCTAGTCCCAAACTCAGAGTCAGCAAAATTGAAGAGTGAGTGAAAACTTTTGTCTTTGGCATGGGGCCCCCTCCTGATGGCTTCTTTCCTCCTTGCTCAGGAGTCAGCAAACTGTTTTCATGTGGCCTGTGCGCTAAGAATGGTTTTTACATTTTTAAGTAGTTAGGGTGAAAAAATGAAAGAAGAATATTTTGTGATACATGAAAATCAAATTTCAGTCCATAAAGTTTTATTGGAACACAACCACACCCATTCATTTACATAATGTCTATCTAGGGCTCCTTTTCCACCACCTCAGAGTTAAAACCACATGGTCTGCAAAGCCCAAAATATTTGCGATCTGACCCTTTACACAAAATAGTTGTCCACCCCTGCCTTATCTTCTGCTTCTAGAGCAGTCATTCACACTGAGGTGTGAATGACTGATAACAGTTTAAAATACTAACTCCCTTTTCCCCTTCAGAAGAAAATTTGGATTGCAATAGGGAGAAAATCCTTTATGATAGCAATAAAGCCTGTAGAGGTAAATGTTGGGGGTGAAGGGCAGATTTCTGGCAACAGTCAGGGGTTGGAGAAAGATATTTTGGAGCAGAGAATTTCCCCCTGAACACTGAAGCTGTGCTCTTCTGGAACCAGCTGTCTGAAGTTCTCAGCAGGTGGTGTCTACAACTGCAGATGAAATAAGGAATTTTCATCCCAGTTACACAGAAGAATTCACTTTCCCTCTATCTCCAAGTCTGCTCACAAACAGGTTGTTTTCCTGACTGCTGCCTCTACTTGCCAGTAATGTGGTTGTCATTTTTATATCGATCATCCCTGTGCTTCATATTCAAAGAAGCAGCAAGCTTTGCACCTCAAAGGATTTTTTAAAATTCCAGCTGCTGGTGGAATTACAACTTTTGGTTGCAAATTATTGTTTTCAACCAGGGTACTTGGTCAGCACTCTTAATAGAAAATGACAGAAACCCCACTCAAACTGGCATAAGCAGAAAGAGAATTCACTGACTTATGTTAATAGAAAGTCCCAAGATAGTGCTCACTTCAGGTATGGCTGGATTCAGGTACTGAAAGGAACGTGTTCCTCGTCCAGCCCTCAGTTCTGCTTCATTCATTCAGCCTTGGTCAGGTTTTCCATATGACCCAGCAGCTCTGGCCTCTAGCTTACCCAGCAATGAATGCAAGTGGAATGAGCAATTCTCCCCGATAGTTCCAGTGAAATCGCCATGCTAATGTCATTGATTCTGATTGGCTTGGCGTGAGTCACGTGCTCGCTGACCAATCCCTAGAGTCAGGGCTGGTTCCCATTAGTGGGGCTGGTTCATGTACCTTTCCTGAAGCCACTTGAGAGAGAGGACAGAAGCAGAGGAGGGAGGCTACAGCTAGAAAAAGGGGGTGGAAGATGCACAGGTAAAACAACAGCCATCTCTTAGCCAGAAGTTGTAGAGTCCTTAAAACGTGCATAAATAAATATAGAAGGCTTTAAAAACATGGTGGGCTAGGGTCTTTGATGCAACACAAAATAAGAAAGATGAACCTCAACTTCCAGGATCCTTGCCCCCAGCCCCCCCTCCCCGCCCCTGGCCTCAGCCCCTCGGAGGGCCTGACCCTTCCACCTCCCTGTCGCCCTCCAGAACCTGAAGCGAGTAGCCGAGGTGTGGATGGACGAGTACGCCGAGCACATTTACCAACGCCGGCCAGAGTACCGCCACCTGTCTGCTGGGGACGTCGCCGCCCAGAAGAAGCTCCGCAGTTCCCTTAACTGCAAGAGTTTCAAGTGGTTTATGACCAAGATCGCGTGGGACCTCCCCAAATTTTACCCGCCGGTGGAGCCCCCGGCGGCAGCTTGGGGAGAGGTGAGTCTGAAGGGCCCGGTGCAAAATCCAAACGCGGAACCCCTATTCACAAGACAGGCAAAGAGTGCCAATTAAGGCATGAGATATAAAACATGTTTCTTTCTTGAGTCTCTCTAGCCTTGTGGTGGTTTTTTATATGCTACTTAATGTTCTAAGTAGAGAAAAATTAAAACTTTAATATTAGCATAAATTTTACCATTCAGCTTCATATTATGCAGTGTGAGTTTTAAATGCAAATAGAAGAGCATTTAGCTCATGTGCCAGATGGGTGAAATTTCACAATCTGTATTTCAACCCTTGTACGTGCATATGTATTTCTTACCAGAACGGTGCAAACACAGCACAAAGCTAACTCAGCTGATTTTATGTCACTTGTTGCTAATGCATACTTTATTTTATTATTTTTTTTTTAATTTATTGTGAGAGAGAGAGAGAATCCCAAGCATGCTCTGTGCTTTCAGTGTGGAGCTCATTGTGGGGCTTGAACTCACGACCCATGAGATCATGACCTGAGCCAAAACCAGGAGTCAGTTGCTTAACCAGCTGAACCACCTAGGTACCCCGATAATGCATACTTTCTAAACCCACTCTACCTGTGGCTTGCTGATGCATGAGGAAGAGCAGAAAGAAAAACTGGGGCTTGCCCTCTTCTTCCCTTCCTTCTGTGTTGTTATCTTCCGCTGGTAAGGAAAGTGGTCTGCAGGTCCAGGGAAGTAATGCAAGAGGCTATTAGAGCTCCCTGGCTCTTCCTGTGTCTCTGAATACCTCGGCCTTCTTTGTGCAGTCAAGTTCTGGTTGGAAAGCACGGCCTTCAGACATGCCAGCACCCCACTTAGTCTTAGCTGTAACTTGAGTCTTGCTGAACTCCCATGCACGCAGGACCCCAGGGATTCTGTGCTTCTGGGGCATCACAGAAGAAAGGTACAGCGAATGCCCGTGTACTGTGTTATCACCTCTGCTTACATGCATGCTCCCCTGTCCTATCAGATTCCACTGACAAGTTCAAAGATAAAATTATTAAAAAAAAATTTTTTTTTAACTTAAATCCAGGTTAGTTAACATATAGTGTAATAATAATTTCAGGAGTAGAATTTAGTGATTCACCACTTACGTATAACACCCAGTGCTCATCCCAACAAGTGCCCTCCTTAATGCCCGTCACCCATTTAGCCCATCCCACTATCTACCTCCCCTCCAGCAACCCTCAGTTTGTTCTCTGTATTTAAGAGTCTCTTATGATTTGCCTCTCTCTGTGTTTTTATTTTATTTTTCCTTCCCTCCTCCTATGTTCATCTGATGAGTTTCTCAAATTCCACATGAGTGAAACCCTATGAGATCTGTGTTTCTCTGACTCATTTCACTTAGCATAATACCCTCCAGTTCCATCCACGTTGTTGCAAATGGCAAGATTTCGTTCATTTTCATTGCCAAGTAGTATTCCATTATATATATATATATATATATATATATATATATATATATATAAACCACATCTTCTTTATCCATTCATCAGTCGAACACTTGAGCTCTTTCCATAATTTGGCTGGCACGTGAAAAGATGCTCAATGTCACTCATCATCAGGGAAATACAAATCAAAACCACAATAAAATACCACCTCACACCTGTCCCAGCGGCTCAGATTAACAACCCAGGAAACAACAGGTATTGGCGAGGATGTGGAGAAAAGGGAAGTCTTTTGCACTGTTAATGGGAATGCAAACTGGTTCAGCCAGTCTGGAAAACAGTATGGCGGTTCCTCAAAAAAATTAAAAATAGAACAACCTTACGACCCAGCAGTAGCACTACTATATATTTATCCAAAGGATAAAAAATGCTGATTCGAAGGGACACATGTACCCCAATGTTTACAGCAACACTATTATTAAAACTTTTAACACCACGACAGCAGAGCTTTAAGCCAATGACAGCCCCTTCTGAGTGAGGGGCCTGGGGCTGCTGCCTGTGTCACACTACTCAAGCCCGTCCTGCTGGGGGAGGCAGACCATCTTCTAGCAGAAGAAACACTCTGTCACCAGACTCTGGCTCCTGGTGTCTGAGCTGAGAGGACCACTCATTTATAGATGGACATACCGGGGCTGGGGGACAAGGAGCATAAGGGTTAGATCTCCTTCCTTGCAGGTGACAGAAGTCCAGTTTGAAGTGAAAAGAGAAATGTAGTGAATCTCATAGAAACGTTGGGTAGCTGTGGCTTCAGACACGTGGATCCAGGGGCTCAAATGATGTCAGTTGCTTTTTCTCCTGTTTACCTCTGCTGCCATTTCTGTTAGCCTCATGCTGAGGGTAGCAAGATGGTTTCCAGAAGCTTGAAGCTGGCCCAGCAACAGAAAGTATATGCCTCCTTCCCAGTAAAGCCAGCACAGCTCCAGGAATCAAGTCTGATTCTTAGGTCTGCACCAATCACTGTGGCCACAGGAGGAAGGGGGAAAGCAGGGGTGGACAGATACTCTAGCAGGCCACAGAGTGGGGAGAGGGCGGTAGTCCCATAGAAAATCAGGGTGCTGTTACCAGAGGAAGGAGTGAGGGGTTTGAGCCAACAGAAACACCAGGTATGGCTTGTTCAAATTCATACAGCAAGTTAGAGGGGCCTTTCCTGACTAAGCTGTCTGGCCCATCTAACACCAGCACAGATACTGTAGAGGAGGTGTCGTGTTGACTTCCCTCATGAAGCTCTTCATTTCTTTGCCAGTTTATTGGCTTTTTCCCCTGTATTAGGGCCAGTCTTCCGAGAAGCAGACACCAAGAGACTTGTTGGGGGAATCCCTGAGAGAAGGAACAAGAAGGGAGCCAGGAGAGGCTGGGAGATCTGTTGTGGGGCTGGTCTGCCTGCTGGGAATGGGAAAGGGGAGGAAGAAGGGCTGCCGTAGGAGGAGTCCCACACTGCAAGCATGCTCTTGAGCCAAGTGACTGAGCAGTCTTCAAGCCAAGTCTCCTACCAGAGAAGGCAGCATCTCCCTGGAATGGGCCTCCACAGTCCCCCTGCCCCGCTCCGTCGCTGGCTGGAAGCAGCCCATGGGAAGCACGGCCTCCACTCAGACACAGTGGATTCCGGACACAGCGGCCGGGCAGTCAGACTCCCTGCAGCAGGGCAACTGAGGAGCACGTTTTCATGGCCACCACACCTCCAACCCAACCCCTCAGTCAAGATAGGAGTGATTCTGTGAGGCAGGAACTACACGATGCACCTACATGGCACGGTGGCCTTCAGGTAGTGAGTGCTGACCAACCGTGAGCAGTGAGGCCTTCTGCTCCAGCCCAGTGCTCCTCCCACCACACCACACCCTGTCTTACTGAAACTCTTGTTTTTTGGATCGAGAACCTCTTGCCATTCACCTGCTCTTTAAGGCCACAGCAAAGATGCCCCGTCCTTTTCTAGGGTGGCTTTCAAGATATGGTCCCTGCGTCTCCTGGAATGGGAGTAAAATTCCACTCCTGGAACTGTTGGGTCAGATTCTCCAGGAATGGAGCCAGAGAGTCCTCTGAATACCAACCCCCCTCAACTTCCAGGTCCCCACTGCCACCCTGTGACTTTGCATGCTCTAGGACAAAGCTGGCTTTGGAGGAGCTCCTCTCTGAGGACTGAGTATTCCTGTACTGAGAAGCGCAAGGCACGTCCACCAACCCAGGGCAAGCTTCATTAAGATAATGCAGAGCTTCCTCCATCCGATGTCTCCGCTGAGTTCCCTCCTTCCATCCCAGCGGGGTCCCAGGGGACTATCTCAAGGTGCCTCATTAGTCCACTCTTTCCTTCTGTCTCTTTCAGATTCGCAACGTGGGCACAGGGCTGTGTGCTGACACGAAGCATGGGGCCCTGGGCTCCCCGCTGAGGCTGGAGAGCTGTGTCCGGGGCCGTGGGGAGGCTGCCTGGAACAACATGCAGGTAAGGGCCACTCTTCTCAGGGACTGGCGGCCAGGTTTTCCTGGGCCATCTGTGGCCTGGAATGTTCACATGGTCAGGGCAGGGAGAGAGACGCCAAGGGTCAGTGACGAGTCACAAAAGCTAGCCCAGGGGATGAGTTATAAGAGCTTTCTGAACACCTTAGAAAGAGGAATCCTTCACATTGCAATAAAATCATCAATCGGGTCTGTTGGCAAATGACAGACACTCAGCCCAAATGGCCTTCAACAAAAAGAAGAATATATTGGCTCATGTATGCCGTTGAAGAGCTTAAATGATGTCATCAGGAGCTCTCCAGGGTCTCAACTCTTCTTCCTCTCTGTTGGCCTCATCCTTCATCCGGCTCTTCCCACATGGTGGCAGATATGACCACCAGCAGCAAAGGCTTTCAACCCGCCAATGAAAAGGCATGTCCCTTTCCAGAGTTCTGGAGAAGCCGTGGGGGTGCTCACATATTGGCTTTCCTGAGCCAGTTACAATAGGGGATGTGATACAGTCCTCGTGTTGATCAAGCCCACGTCACATGTCCACTCCTGGAGCCTGTGGTGTGGTCAGCCTCACCTGAAGGACGGGGAGACGAATGAGGAGAGTGGGTTCCCCAGGGGATCGTGCCCAGGCGGTGTTATCAGAAGAATGAAGGCTACAGGCCAGCGGTGCAGAAAAAGCCACCACCCTCAAGAAACTGCATTTAACTGCCGTGATCCCCCCAGCACCAACGGTTAACCCTAAAATCACACCGCATCCCGCCTCCACTGACTCTTGGTTCGAGGGAACATTTTTATAGTCTCCTTCCTGTGGGTTTTCTGACATTTTGGAAGTGCACACTGATAGAAGCCCATATTGCGGGGCCTCTGCAAAAACAGAGCTCAGAAGGGGTGAGTGGCACGCTCACTGCGAAGGAACAGCACCGCCTCTCAGATGGGCCCAGTGCCCGGCCTGACAGTGTCTGCCCCTCCCTCTGAAGTCCTTGCTCCCTCTCCTCCCTTGATAACAGTTATTAGAAGTGGCCCTCCTTCACCAATTCTCCTGAATTCTTCAGGGCAGCGTGTGGCTGCTCCCCACACCCACCCCACGAAGGAGAACCCCAAAAGAGACCAGGAAGAGCACAGGGCCTGGGAGAACGTGCCTGGAGAGCTCGACCTGGGATAGCCTCACTGTGTGGCAGAGTCCACACTAATGCCTGAAGATTCACTCGAACAAGGAACAAAATGATGTCTGGCTGCCTGGCTGTGCCAGCCTCCACCCTCTGAAATGGGAAGCATGGCAGCCCATTTGCCCCTGTGGGATCGATATTCCCTGGGGCTCTCAGACACCCTGAGCAGAGAGCTCTCGTGAGCCTGAAAAGGGAGAAATGTGAGTCTAAAATGCAGAAGACCCGGGAGATAATCAGGAAGCAGTAGCTGGCACAACCACTCCTTTGCCACCATGGGGTCCACTCCTGGCCAACATGGAGTAGGTTAACAGGGACTGGATTTACCCTCCTGCCAGAAACAACTGAAAAACAGAAAATGTGTGAAACACTCTTTTCAAGAGAGCAGACAACATTGGGGCGCCTGGGTGGCGCAGTCGGTTAAGCGTCCGACTTCAGCCAGGTCACGATCTCGCGGTCCGTGAGTTTGAGCCCCGCGTCGGGCTCTGGGCGGATGGCTCAGAGCCTGGAGCCTGTTTCCAATTCTGTGTCTCCCTCTCTCTCTGCCCCTCCCCCGTTCATGCTCCGTCTCTCTCTGTCCCAAAAATAAATAAAAACGTTGAAAAAAAAATTAAAAAAAAAAAAA